GCAGTAGATATTCTTCAAAGCACGGCCCCATGCTGGGAAGAAGAAATAGAGTAAAAGACACATGGACAATTCCAGCTAAAACAAGTAGTAATTTAATAGACACTTCATTGGCCCAAATTATCCAATATGTTATCATCTTGACCTATAACCAACATAAAAATTTAATACTTTGCAATTTTGTGTGGTCTTCAAAACACTATGTATGTTTTTACATTGTAAGCATATCTCCAGTCGGACTCCAATTTTTCATAGAGAAGACTTGATTTATGTTTGAATTTCATAAAATTTATTGTTAAAATTTTACATTTGCAAGTGTTTGGTTTTACCTAACATACGTAAATGCTTTTCAGCAATTGAAATAAAAATCAAATTTTTGAAGTTATGTTAAATTAAGATTGCTGTTCTTCAGTCATACTGGACACATTTTAAGTCTTAAACATTACCTGCATCCCAGACTCTGCTCTAGACACAACAGTCATGAAATGCTGATAATGGAGCCATGTGTGTATAAAACATTTATATATAAAAATTGTCTCTAAACACCATTCCTTTTTGCTTTAAGTTCACAGTCAGAAGTATCCCAGAACTTAGATATTTGACACATTTCCATTCAAGACTGTTCAGGAAAATTGACTTTAATCTGCTCATCCATACAGCCATGTTCATAGCCAAAGACAAATATTTCTATTGTTATGTCATATGTAGAGATTGAATATCAAAGGCGATTTCACAGTTTCTGACATGGTGAACACTTTGAGCCGCTCCACTATTCATGTGCACATGTACCACACAGAGTAATAGTATCATTGTTTTGGGCTCAAGGTTGAAGGCTTGGACAATGTGAAATCCTTTCAAATGACTCATGCTTCATTGACCAAGTCCATTTTATTTAAAGGTGGAAGAAATGTTCCCTTTCTACATGTGACAAACTATCTAACCTTAAATTACTGAATGAAAATATAAGGATCCATAATATGCCAATCACCACTCATCAAAAAAGCTTCTTTAGCAACAGACAGAGACTATTACAGAGCTCCACAACTAGTCACTCAAGGAGATTAATTGTCTATGAAATGCCCAACCCTCAGCGACACAACTACAATGGAACCCCTATACCTAAGGCTCATGGAACACAGTGGAACAAGGAGTAAAGAAAATACTAATCAATCTCTCAACCCTCATCATTGAAGTTCCCTCATGCAACAGAGGGCAATGAACACAAAGGGCCACTAACGGCCAAAGCATAGAGAATAAAAGTCTGCAAAGTGGGAGTCCCTGGACAGGACTCCAATATTAAACTCCACCCACCCAGGGCTCAGGAACCATTGTGGAAGAGGGAGCCTAAAGATTGTAGGAGCCAGGGGAGGTGGTGCATGACCATATGGAAATAGAACCTAACAGTCTTCTGGGACATTGCTCATATAAATCTACAAAATGGTGGAAGCATCCACAATGCCCATCCAAACTCAGGCAAACAAAAAAACGCACCAGAGGAAATGGCAGCAGATCCCAATCTTAGCCAAAGAACTATTGGCAGCTGATTGCTGCTGGGTGAGGAAGAGATGATCTTCTTTAAGGGAGAGACTCTAGATAGGTTGACTAGACCTCAGGGGATGAACTTGCACTGAGGGACATTTGGGGACACTAAATTGACTCAATAGGCTTTAACATAAATGACAGAATGGATGAAACCCAGTTGTGGTGGTAGGGTCTATGGGAGGGTGCTGATGGGGAAGGGGAATAAAGATGATTAAGATGTTGTATATGAAATACACAAAATTCAATAAAAATATTCAAAAAACTATTGAATGAAAATATGGATGAAGAAAAAGTACTGCATCTTCCAAAATGGCATGAGCTGAAAGAACCGCCAGCCCTTTTCTTAATAGTATCATTGTTCTTCCATTATGAAGATGTAGAATGATAAGAATACACTGAGAATGTTATAAACTTCATGGAAATGGATATAAGGCATCAATATTCAGACTGAACTTCTGCCAGCTATATCATCAGTTGAGGGAAAAGGAGATACTGATCCTGGGACCAGGAAACACATGCTTGACATTCTCCAGTTAATTGTGTCCTGTCATCTAAATCCCATTCTGAGGGAGGCTTGGATACCACGATACACCCAAGTAGTAAACCATGGGGAGAGAACAAAAGGGGGGGATTAAAGTATGCACGTTTATTTGTGTCACCTACCGTTTGTATTTCCCATCCTCAAAATGTCATTGCTATCTTTGTCACTTCTGTTCTCTTTGTCCTTGACATTTCATGCCTTAAAAAATTCTCTATTTACAATTCAGTGGAGTTTCGGAAGTGTTGAAATAAACACATACTCCAGCCCACATGCTCAACTTGTATTATATACACCATATATATATTTAGATAAAGAAAATAAACACACCTATCACCAAGAGCTGAATCTTACATGACCAGCTGCCAAAGAGAAGGGGCTGGTACAAGCAAAAAATTAAACACGAACGGGAAGACTCATGGATTAGATAAGTTGCTCAAAAGCCAAAGAGACAGAGATAGAGACACAGAGACAGAGAGACCATCTGTTCTGATTCCTTTGGCTGCCAACCCTAAGAAAAAGATTGTTCACAGCAGGGATGAGGAATTTACATACTGAGTAAGCAAAAACAGCAACAATTATTTTCTTGAACTGGCAGTTAATATATGAGAACTATGTAATCCAAAATGGAAATGCAAAAGAGTGAACATGAATTACTTGGCTTCTTGCAAACTAGACAACCACAAAGAGAAACAGAACACATGTCCTTTGGGGGGATACAAGAAATGTGCCAGTGATTAGAACTAGCTTTACTGAATGACCTAAATGCACATAGGCTATATGTTATGTCATCCTTTTACTATAATAAAACTTTTAAAAATAGAAAAATAGAAATCTAATCATATGTGAGAGCTATAATATCAGGTTCCCTATAAACACAAAAATTATTCTTTTTTGAAAGAAAAGAGAGGAGACTGGAGAGATGACTCAGCACTTAAAAAAACTTGTTGCTCTTGCAGAGGACCTGGGTTTGGTCCCAGCAACTACATCAGGCAGCTCACAACCAACTGTAATTTCAGTTCCAGGGTATCTGACTCCCTCTTATAGCCTCATCTGTCACCTGCACGTGCATGGTACACATAGAAATACTCAGGCGCACACATACACAAAAAAAATTCATATATATATATATATATATATATATATATATATATATGATGTATGCAGTTAGGTTTTCCAGAAACAATCTGGAGAAGGTGAGGGAAACAGCGTTTTTGTACAGTATGTAAAACATCTATTTTGGCAAGCCCTTGCCTCCAGACCAATGGATTGTAGATCAGATTATTTGCTTGACCTTAGCCAGATCCCCCACAGAATCAGCAGAAACTTTGTTCTGCAACAGAAGCTGCAAGCCAAACAAAAGTCAGCTTCCAAATCCATTTGCTCAGCACAGATACAATTTATGTTTTTTCCTTTTGCTTAGCAAGCAGTTGTGCTACAGATTTTATCTTGAGAATTTCAGTGGTAATGAAACATTGCTATAATTTAGGATGAGCCAAGCATGTATAAAAATGAGAGCTCAAAAATCTGTCTTTCTTGGCCCACTGAGACATTTTTTTAAAATATACTTAAAATATATTTTCTCTGAGCCTCTTAAAGATTTCTGAATATATTCATCATTTAAAACATCAATAGAGAAGATTTTATATTCAATTGATAACCATTTATTTTTCAAGGAAATAAATGCTAGTCACTCTGGTTTCTCTAGCACATTTTTTGAAGATTTTATAATACGAAAATATACAAGTTTCTGGGTCTATATAAAAAGTCATAGTTTTTTTAGATAACTTGCTTAAATGTGTGGAAGTCAAGATTTTAGACCATCAACACCAAGCGAATAGTAGACATTCAATAATCGCTGTGTGGCTTTTATTGCTTGGGTTTTCTTCTAGGCATATTTCATATGAAGTGTCTGACAAGGAAATATGCAGTTTCTACTTTAATATCAATATTGCTGCATTTAAGGGATATAGAGAAATATAGCCTTAGTGAAATAATATAAAAAATAATAATCATCTTCTTACAATTCATCTGTTGATATAATCATGTTAGAGTGTGCAAAGAAATAATAGTCAATAGCACAAAAGTATACAAGCATCCTAATGGAAATTATGTGATGAAATATGGGGTTTTTATTCATTTTAGATGATTAGTTGGTTAGATAATTGCCTTTTCATTTTCATGTGTATGTATACATGGTCAACACGCAAACATGTTTGCGTGCCTGTGTGTGCACACTGCAGCACGTGTGTACAGCCAAAGGTTGATGCTGGGAGTCTACTTCAACTGCTCTTCCACCTTATGCATTAGGCAGAGTTTCTCAACCGCTCCAGAGTTTGCTGCCTTTCCCTGGGGCTCCTCAGCTCTGCCTTCTGAGGGCTGGAATTACAGGCCAACTGCCATGCCCACTGGGCACTCACATGGGTTCTGAGGATTCAAACTCTTGTTCTTTAACATGTGTAGCAAGCTCTTTAACTGCTGAGCCATCTTCCCAGCTGTTATTTAGACAATTCGTATGGGTACATGACTTTAATAAGGGGTTGGAGAAATGGTTCAGTGGTTTAGAAAACTGGTTGCTTTTGCAGAAGAACTGGGCTCAGTTCTTAGCACCCACATGGTACCTAACAACTGTCCAAAACTCTCCAGTTCAAGAGGATCTGATGCCCCCCTCCGCCTCCCCAGGAATTCTGTGCATAAGGTGAACTCACACACATGCAGGCAAAACACTTCTACATATACAATAAAAACAAATAGAATTTTAAAGATAAAATATGTGAAAGTACATGTTAATACATGTTTCACCATTATTGTAAGTACTTCGTATTTCTGACACTGACATAAAGCTCTCCATGTAAGAATAAAGACAATAAAAATAAATTTTAAGGTAAATATATGCTAAATGTTCTTTTTTTTTTTAAGTTCACACCAAACAGGTAATGTGCCAATGTGTAAGAAGGTTTCAGGACAGCACATAGCATGCAGTTGCCTGAATACCCAATCATCATGCTCATGAACAAAGAAAAGGATCTTCAGTAAACTCTGAAAAGTAAACAGCAGTGATCAAATTAGAAGTTTAACTTTTCAAGGGCAGCCTTCACAGGGGGATTTTAAAAGTTACTCAGAAAGCTCTATAGCTTCTTAAGCTTTTTGAGATTTTTGAGGCTGTTTTCAGCAGAATGTTGGTTCAGAGAGAACTAGTAACACTAGTCTTTTTAAAATATCCTAGTCTGTTGAGGACAGAATCTCTCAAAACATGATGAAATACTTAAAAGCCCACCAAGGCAAGACTACAGAGCCCTTTCTGTCATAACACATAACAGTTAATAACAAAAGATAGGCAATTTTATGGACGGCATGGGTATACAATGTGAGTGCACTCATATAGAAGTTTAGAATGTGAGTCTATAGAGGCATGTATGTGCATGTGTATACATAAATATGTATGTACTAGAAATTAAACTCAAGGTCTCACAATGTGCTAAGCATATACTCTACCACTAAGATACATTCTAGTCAGTATCCACAAAGCTTTGTGAAATTTGCTTTTGCAGTACCCAACAGGTTGAAAACTTTGTATATTGGTAAGAAAATTGTAAATATAACTCTCTCAACATTTGAAGTACTTACAGAAGTTCAGAAATGTTTTAGCAAAATGTTTCTTACAGATTTGTCTGATATTATAAAATGCTGCAAGTGATCTTACTGTTGACAAGACAGAAAATAATTCAATGCTGTGTATGTTACATCCTTATTAAAGCAACTAAGAAAACACTAATGGTCCATGTACACAGACAGGGAAATACTATTACAATACATGAATTAAAGTACAAAACTACAAAATTTTCACTAAATACTTTTGCCGTGAGATCATAAAAGTTCAAATGTGCATAAGTTCTGTATTTAAATATAATATACATAAATGTGGAGCAGAACTCCACTCTAAACCTTGATAAGGATGAAAACTGGGGTGAGGGAATAAGCACTTGCACACTGCACACTTCCCATTTCTGTGTAGCACACTGAGACATATATATTCATAATTAGCTTGCCTGTATGTATAGGTCTATCCAGCATCGATCTGCTGTCATCGATAAACTTTTTCTCTTATGAGTGTAAGTCTTTTGAATTTGAGCTTCTCTCTCTTTCTCCCTCTCTTTTTCCCTCTGATCAATTCTTTTTATCTCTCTCTCTTGACAAGGTCTCACTATGTACCTGTCTGGCTGACTTGAAACATGCCATGTAGACCAGGCTGGTTTTAAACTCAGTTAAACAGTTAAATAATGCTTGCCTTATTGTTCACATCTATGTGCCATTTCATATTTATAAATAAAATTGGAAAGGCAAGTTACCAATCAGAAACAGCACTAGTTTCACCACACGGTGCTGCCTAGGTTTATTTCCACTCTGTTCTTTGCTTTTAACCATAAACACTCTGCTTAATTCGTATTCTGAAAAAAAATTTAATATCACAATTTCATGGCCATATATAAGATGCTTCTAAGTCACCATAATGTGAATAAGTTGTTACGCACACTAGGCTGAAACCCTACTAGCTAATTCCCACAAGAGAACTGAAAATAATTTGTTTTCTCTAGGTAATTCTGCTTGCTAATTGTCCATTCAATTCAAATTAAGAACAGTCAAGATCTGTATAGAAAAGGGCCACTCAAAGTGACTTCTTTTTTCTAAAATGATACTGAAAACTTCTTCCTCAGCATATAAGATTAGTCTTTTCATCACACATATATTCAGTCAGTTGTCAATGACAGTTGAATAACTGTAACAATACACAGAACATATAGGCAAATTACATACTTTTATTTATTATTTATTCTATTATGTGTATGAGTGTATTGCCTGCATGTATGTAAGAGCATTTGTGTTCTGCATTGCCTACAAAGTTCAGAAGAGGACATCAGATTCCATAGAACTGGAGCAAATGGATGGTTGTTAACCACTGGGTGGGTGCTGGGAACTAACCCAGATCTTCTGTAAGAACAGCCAGTGCTCTTAACCACTGAGCCATCTCTTCAGCCCTAACAGATTACATTTTAAAGTATTCAATAACATACAATATTTAGGGGATGAAGAGATTCCTCAGTGGTTAAGAGCACTGGCTGTTCTTGCAGAAGACCCAGGTTCGAATCCTAACACCCACATGGCAGCTAACATCTGTCTGTAACTCTAGTTCCAGGAGATCCAACAGGCTCTTCTGTCCTCTGTGGGCATTGCATGACAAAGATGCACTTACATACTTGCAGGCAATACATGTAAAAAATTAAAATGCAGTATTTATTATAATTTGGTCAAAGTAAGTTTTTTTGAATTGAAAGATAATTATTATTTACAAGTTTCTCAACTATGTATCAAATATTTACTTAAGATTATGTACCAACGTTCCCCTCCATCTTTTTAAAATAAATATTTTTATTGTTTCTTTGAGAACTTCATACATTGTACTTTGCCATATTCGGATGCCTCCCCCATCTCTACTTCTACCTTAGTATCTCTGCAACTTCGTGTCCTCTGTTATATTCTTTTAAAGGATAATCTAGTCTAATTTGTGTTTCTCATATGCTCTGGTTCATGCCCAGAAACTGCCCAAGATAAGATTCTAATCAAGTACTTTGAAAGTATATACATCCTGATGTTTTGAAATATTCATTGTGGAAAGGCTAAATCACGATAATGACCATATGCATTAGCCCACATATTTTTCCATTCTAAAAATAACTAAAATCGACTCTCTTCACAATTTCTTGTACAATATGTTAATTATGGTGGTGATGTTGTTTAACAGGGCCCTTGAATTTAATCTGCCCAGCTGAACTCTATGCTCCTTGACTCACCTCTCTCAAATGTTAGCCCCTCCAGGACCTGGTCACCACTTTCTCCTCTCTGCTTCTGTGACTGGGAGTGTTTTCAACTCCACCAATGACATCCTGCAGTGCATGCCTTCTGACAGCTTTGCAAATTTCCACAAAGTAGATAATGTTGAAATTATTGAAGTATATGTCTATATCAGGAACATTTGATTTTATCAAGTGGTTTTCATGAATTGTGTGTGTGATTGCTGTATTTTAGACAACCTACAGCTATTTGTTCATCCATCATCATCTCTAATCATGCAAAGTCAAAAATATCTTAATTACGATTTCTGTGATATCTGCTTAATCTTAGAGAAAATTCTTAAATAGTCTATAAACATTAATCACCCTTTCAAATTTTATAAAAATTACCTTTTTCTTCATGTGAGGAATCAAAATGACCTTATACAGTGAAAGAAAAAAATATACAGCAGATCTGAATAGAAAAAGATACATACATACATGTGGTCAAGACAGTCATCTAATCAGACCTACCAAATTTTAGACCAACTTCTTTCTGCCCCCTTGACTTAGAGCATTTACTTTAGAGCCTTATCACTGTAGAGTCTTTGCTTGTGTGTCTTTCTCAAGGAGCTCGATGTCATCCTTTGAGATGTGACATTGTGGAGGAATGCATACCTCTCCCTGAGTAGCCTGGCTCCTGTGCATGCCTTGGTCCACCTTATAGAGCTTCTTGTTGTCATAAACACAAGAAAGCCTACTTGTTCTTAGAGTAAAATATAGCAAACAGAGGTGTCTTAGGCTCTCTCTTTTACACATGCCCTACTCTAAAAACGTCTCTAGCTTTTTGGTTCATTAGACCAGACTTTGGTCTCTCCTATTGAAATGGCCTGAATAAAGTCTAAATGTAGTCTTCCTTGCTGTTTAATTGTGTGAGTACATCTTTGTTTGAATTTATGAGTACTATAGTGAATAAAGACAAGATGTATCATTTTGAAGTTTATAAAAAAGAACCCCTCAAAATAATAATCGCATCACTGTGTACATACTAACTTACTAAGATCTGATCCTTATAACCTGCTTAGCTAGACTTTTCTTATAACAAATGCTTTAAGTAATTTTGAATTAATTGTGCAGTAGAAAAATTACATACTATGCTTAAAATTATTTTCCTTTGAAGTTTCAGGCATTAGAATTACGTCCATTCTGAGTATATAGGCTGTTGATTCAGAACCCACAGTAAATGCTTTCTTGCTTGAAAGAGCTTATATTTTAATAAAAGGGGAAAATATTGATTTGGAGAGAATTACTAAAAGCCCATGTGAGAAAATGGACACAGGTCTGAGGGCGAACCTGGATGCTGCTTACAAGGAGGCTCTGCACATTATGTATGTAACAAAGAGTATGAGCATGTGTCCCTAATGCAGGGAAGACTAATGGAAAACTGGTAAGGTACTGATCTTAAGTGCAGTTCCATAAATGTAACAGTCTTTAGTGCTTCTGAACTTCACATCAGATTGCGTGTTCTTTAAACAATGGTTCAACTTCTCTTTACACAGATAAATATGAAAGAAATAGAGAAGGGGTTGAAAACTTTGAGGAAGGACAATAGCAACTTCAGACAAGTATGATGCTGAAATGTTCTAAGACGTTAGGGAGCAGAGGATGAGGATGAAGAAGTAAAGAAGACTGTGTTCTTTATATATTTGTTGATAAAGCCTCTAATGACCCCCCCCCGCATTAATTTCACAGAACTGATTGACTTCTCACTATCTGTTAGCTTATTCCATCCTTTCTTTTACTAAGATAATAATTCATTGCTTTTTTTATATGGTGTCTCAATCAGTTAACACAATATCACTCTAGATTAAAATATGTTTTGCTGTATACACAACATCAAAAACTACCACTGTGATAAATGAAATCATTGACCATCCAACATCTCTGTATTTTTGTCTCCAAGCTAATTGAATCAAATGGTGTCCCATGATTTTAGCTGCAAGTAAAATTTGATTTACACAAAGACATGTGTAGGTTACTTATTATGCCTTTCCTTAATGTATGTACAGCATAGTTGTTCTTCCTTGAGATTGGCAACACATTGCATTGTCCATTTAAAAAGTGAATAATGAGGTTCTGGAGAGGTGGCTCAGCAGTTAAGAGCACTGGCTGCTCTTAAGTAGAACTGAGATTCTGTTC